CAGTAGCTGAGAGTTACATCTGGATCTGCAGGCCCATAGAGCTACTGGACCTGGTATGAATTTTGAAATCTCAAAGCCCAATCCAAGCGAAATACTTCCCTCCAAATGGCCACTTCTCTTAATCCTTCTAATCCTTTCAAAGAGTTCCATTCCCTAGTGACTAAATGCTGTGGGATGGTCTGTATGTCAAATGTGTTGCTGATTGGTCAATAAATAAATCACTGATTGGTCAGTGGCCAGGCAGGAAGTATAGGTGGGACAAGGAGGAGAAAAAACTGGGAGGTGGAAGTCTGAGTGAGAGAGACACTGCCAGCCGCCATGATGACAAGCTGCATGTGAAGATGCCGGTAAGCCACAAGCCATGTGGCAAGGTATAGATTAATAGAAATGGATTAATTTAAGCTATAAGAACAGTTAGCAAGAAGCCTGCCACGGCCATACAGTTTGTAACCAATATAAGTCTCTGTGTTTACTTGGTCGAGTCTGAGAGGCTGTGGGACTGGCGGGTGAGAGAGATTTGTCCTGACTGTGGGCCAGGCAGGAAAACTCTAGCTACAACTAAACATTGAAACATAAGAGCATATGGTGGCCACTCTTATTGTAACCAACACACACACACTAAAGCACATGGAAGACATAGCAGTTTGGAATATATGCTCGTTTCACATTATTAGTAAACACACATACTAAACATGGACTAAACACAGCTAAACACAGCCCTGGGAAGAAACAGATATTTAACACATTATTTTGCCAAAACTAATTAACTAGGATACACCATGGAATTGAAATGAAAGTTGGAGCTGTTGAGATGGTTGGGCAGGATGTCTGACCTGGAGGGAAAGATGCCCTTGAATGAAAGCTCTATTTCAGTCACTTGGTTCTCTTGGTCTTAAAATTTCTCACAATTCCAAAAAAAAAAAAAAAAAAAAAAAAAAAAGAGCCTGCCGGGCGGTGGTGGCGCACGCCTTTAATCCCAGCACTCGGGAGGCAGAGGCAGGCGGATCTCTGTGAGTTCGAGGCCAGCCTGGTCTCCAAAGCGAGTTCCAGGAAAGGCGCAAAGCTACACAGAGAAACCCTGTCTCGAAAAACCAAAAAAAAAAAAAAAAAAAAAAAATTTCTCACAATATAAGGAATTTCTCATTTTCGCATAATAGAAAACTCAAACAATCTGAAACCATGTTCCTCATCATAATCTTCACTGACCCCATGTGCCCTCTGATCTTTCACTAATTTATAATTATTCTGAGTTATTTTTGTTGTTGTTCTGTTTTAAATACCTTATACAATAGATAGTTATTAAGCCAACCATTACATTTTTGGGATTCAGACATAAAAGTCACATGTTCCTGCACTAAAACAGCCATGGTTGTGATGGGCAGACTTAAAAACTGGTCAGCAATTGACTTCTGGCTCACTGAGAAGGACTTGATCTCAAAGCTGTTTAAAGCACTAGCGCCTTGGTTCCAGGGTCAGGATGGGAGCTACATAAGGATGCTGCAGATCCCTAGTCAGCTGAAGGAGCAAGACGGCCAAGATGGTAGTGAAATATAAAGGGAACTGCCTCCCTCCCCTGCCTCTTCCTCACAGAGACAGCAACCTTACTCTCCTAAACCAGCTGCTACTGGGACTATAGCAGAACCTGCACCATAATCAGGAAGCAAGGCTCCACAGGCTCCCACAGGGTTCAAATGCCAAAGACTTAACAGGAGCTGGAGAGTGCACGGCTCTCATAGGTGTGTTCACAGACCCTGGAGCTCTTGTATTGTGTGACAACTGGAAGTGGCCTTGTAAAGTGGACTGTCGAAATGGGGCCCAGACCTTCCTGCTGGCTCATGGTCCTCTCTTTGCACAGTAGATAAAATTTTGGTGTGAATAAAAAAAAAATGTTCAGCATTGACTATTTTAAGATAGGAATCCTTTAAGAACTAGAAAGAGTTAGCAAATGTAGAAGATCGGGGTGGGTAGCTGTTGACTTTTGAAAAGAAATCATAGTAGGAAATACCAGGCTCTTTCTTCCTCTCCATCCCACCCTTTTTTTCTGAGGTTATAACATAACTACAATATTCCCCTTCCCTTTCCTCCCTCTGATATCTCCCATATGCCCTTTCCACTGAGTCCATAGAACTTTACTTATATGCATGTTTTTCAGGGCCGACCATTTGGTACTGGATAACCAATCTGTATGCCTTTCCCTGGGGAAGTCAACCTCTCCTGCTCCCCACTTTCCTCAGTTGCCTATAGTTCTTTGTGTAAAGTTGAAGCCTTGTGGACTTTCCAGTTTGGCATATCTATCCGTGGCACCCATGTTCAGCTCTTGCTTAGAAAATCATGTTGGTGAGATTTTATGGGTGCAAACTCTCTGGTCTTCATACTCTTGCAATCTTTCTGCTCCTTCTTCTGAAATTTTCCCTGAACTCTAGTTGTGGGAGTGTTTTGTAGATGTAGCCATTGTTATTGGAAAAGAATCTACAACCACTACTTTACTAAACCAGCATAATACCTAGCAACAGTCTAGAAAAATATGTCCTTACACACACAGATAAGAATAGTCTTTATCTCTCAAGGAAACTTCTTTTTGAAATACATGGAGACAACTACAGAAAATCACAACCAATCTAAATGCAAGGTTGGAAGAGCCATGTTCTTTCTTAAAATAAGAGTTTCATCCATTCAGAGATCTGTATGAAGGCAGGAGAGGGTGTTATGAGTAGGAGTCAGAGTTGGAGGGTTATAGCCCAATTCTATACTATGGAATGTGAAAAACTACCTTTAAAACATGAGAAAAAGCATCAAGGCTCCATTGGGTTTACTGTGGCTAAATCATTCTTGGAGTATGGATCCTGAAGAATAGGTCAGAAGATGTTTGACCACGGGTCTAGGAAAACTGTAATGGGCATCATCCAAGAGTCTGAATGAGAGGGACTAAATGAACTAAGGGTTATAGCAACAGATATAAAAGCAGGAGAGCAAGAGCATTAGAAGAAGTGTAAAATTTAGGATGTACTAAAGGCTAAGACCCTGTGAGGAGGCACTGTGAGAAGAGGGAATGTTGGGAGATCCCCAGGTAGTCCCAGTTCAACTGAGAGGTAGGAGTTTCATTATCTACGGTAGACACGTAAAAAGCAGCTTAGAAGACACGGAAAAAGAAGCTTAGATTGGGATATGGGTAGATGGATGCTCTTATGACTCTGTACCGTGTGGAGCTGCCTGGACAGGGGTCAACCAATGAGTGTGGATTACAGGAAAAGGGTTTAACCAGGGTCTATCAACTTGGGACAAAGGAGTTCCAAACATATAAAGCAAGTTCTTCTATATCTCCTTGATAGGCATAGTCTCCCACCAGAAAGAACACAGTTTACATGAACCCTTAAAAAATTGTACTTTAAGATGCAGTTAATAAAATAATGAATAGATGAAGAAAGCTCGTTATGGGATGGCAAAAGTACCCAACACAATCGCTATAGTTTGTGTGAGTGTATGTGTGTTGTACAGCTTTGTATACACATGTAATCACACATATCACCTCTTTAAAAAACTGTCTCCAGATACAGAGGGCATGGTGGTGGTGTTGGTGGTGGTGGTGATGTGTGGTGCTCGTGCGTGCGTATTTGTGTGTGTGTGTGTGTGTGTGTGTGTGTGTGTGTGTGTGTGTGTGTTTTACTCTATGGCAACACTAATACATTTGACATCCAAAGTGGCATTTCCTTTGAGAAAGACTATGCCTTTTGGTCTCTGTTACAATTTTTTCCGTTTGTCAGAGAGGCAAAGCTTGAGTTAGATTTCATGATTATACTGGAGTATAATAATATTCTTGAAAATAGAGTTTTTATTTCATTTTGGAGATTTTAGTCCGTTTGCACGTAAGCAACACCTTTAAGCTGTAGCCAAAGAAATAGCCAATTATCTTTCTCCTGCTGCATTCAAACCGGTTGGTAAATGCCAGAAAAGGACATACATCCTGCCAGGATGACAAGCCACCAAGATGTGCCTTTCAAGTGAAGACGCTGCAAGGGAATTCCATATTGTTGGCCTGTGGGCACTCAAGGCAATGTTAACTTTCACTTTGGCTTATTTTTAATGTAGGAACTAATTCTGTATTTTAACCCTGGCCTGTTACAGAACTCTCTTTACACTTGGCCTCCCTTTGATCTTGTTCAATCATCATCCGGGCTGATGCTCCGTGAAAAAAAGCTCCTAGGACTTGGGCAACTTTGGCCCAGCGGCCAGGTGACCGAGACTGGGTGGGGACCCGCAGAGTTTTGTGGGCGCGGAGCCTCTCGCATACCAATCTCCTCCCACCATCATCGCTCGCCGGGAGGCGGGGAGGAAGGGCTGCAAACTTCGCTCCAATCCGCTGCCGCTCTCCCCAGGGTCCCCCTGCTGGGCGACCCGCCCGCTGTGGACTGGAGTTGGTGGAACTTTGCAGATAAACTGCTCCTGAGAGCTAGGGAGGGAAGCTCCCCGCCTCCCCACATTCCGGCTCCCCGGCCCCCCCGCCTCCCGGTCCTCGCCCAGCCGCCCGCTCTGGTGATAGGACGAGCCCCGGGCGTGCATTGTGTGTATGCAAAGCATCGCCGGGCTCCTGGGGCAGCTCGAGCCGGGGACTCGGCGGCTGCTGGGGCGGCTGCGGCTGGCGCTGGGGTGTATATATGCTGCTGCTGCTGCTGCTGCTGCCACGGGTGCCACCGCCCGAGACTGAGCCCAGCGCTGTCATGCTCCTGCCGCGGGGCGGGCGGCAGCGTCGTCCTGTCGCTATATAAGCGCGAGCGGAGGGGCCACCCGGAGGGGCTGAAAATGAAGGTGCCCGCGCATGGGCCGCCGCTGATTGCCAACCCCTCCCGAGCTCGCTCCCGGCGTGGAGCCCGAGGCCGCCGAGGACCCGCCTTCGCCGCAGTAGCAGCAGGAGCAGCGCCGACGCGGACAGCAGCAGCAGCTGCGGCGGCGGCGGCGGCGGTGGCGCCCCTCCCGCCAGCGCGCAGAGCGGCGGCGACTCCGGGGCCGCCGCTGGCCCCGCTGCCATGAGTTGTGCGGAGGTGATGTATCACCCCCAGCCGTATGGAGCGCCCCAGTATCTGCCCAACCCCGTGGCAGCTGCAACCTGCCCCACAGCCTGCTATCATCCGGCGCCCCAACCTGGCCAGCAGGTGAGTCACCGGCCGGGCAGCCTTCCGGGGGCGGGGACGAGGGGCACCCGGTATCGGTGTGGGTCTCTAACCGGGTCCCGCCCGGACCCGAGGCGCTGAGGATGCTCTGGGACCTGCAGGGAGTCACAGAAAGAAAAAAGACCAAAGGGCAGGACTGCAGGTGGCGGGGCTGGGATCCCTGGAGAGGCTTTACCTGGCCCGGGGCTGCTTTGAGCTGTGTCACCTGGACACAGAGGCTGTTAACTCCTAGCTGCGCTGGTCGTTGGGATTCAGTTCTCTGAAGCTCACCAAAGGCATCTGTCTTAGGACTGTGTGAGTAAACTTTTAACCCGAATACTTTGTTTCCTTGGGCAAGTAGGGTTTTTCAGCGTTTTCTGGATTAAGAGGTGGAAGTGTGTGCCATGGAGGTAGCAGAGGTTACCCGATCAGTGAGCTTCATGAAATGATCGTTCAGGGACTTTTAGGGTGGAACTGTGTGCTCTGATGGAAGACACATTCAGAGTTAGAACTTATCCATTGCCTTTCTCTCCGGGGCTGTGATTTAGATGACGGGGTTGCCCAAAAGACTCTTCATTCATTTTCTATCCCCAACAAAGCACAGAGCTTGTCTGTGTCCATCCGGGGACCGGGTGTTTCTCAGCCCAGAGGTAGCCTTGAGTATCAGCATGCCTGGGCCGCACCCAGCCAAGACATTGAAAATGTCAGTAAAAAGGGCCGAACATCTAGGAGATGATAAGAAAGAGTAGACACCGGAAAATGTGACACTGGGGATCCTTGAGTAGTACTTTGTGGCCACATAGCAAGCGCACCAAAACGTAGTTAGCACTATCATAAAATCAGGAAAACGTGCATGTGGCAAGAGACGGTACTGAAACAGAGTCCTTGGACTCCAAGGATTAGAGTAGGGCTAATTTTATTGAAACTTAAAAACTACAGCTAGATAGAGTTAGAAAACAATGATTTACAGATTTTATTGACTTGTTTTCATTTCTTAGGAACTGTATGTTTTATTCTGGCCTTCAGGGTTTGGCCCTTGGAGGAATCTGACCTTTGAATTCCTATTTTTCCTTTGCCTCTGTCCCTTTTCTACAAGTACAGGGTTACTCGTTGGGAAAGAGACTATTGCCCTCGGATTAAAATGTACTGGCTATTAAATTCAGCTGAATCTGAAAGGGTACAAATTCAGGATTCTCCATTAAACAGCCCCGTCTTAATGAAGACCAACAGGGCACACGAGAGAAGAGTCCACCTTCTCGCTAGTCTTTATTTATTTACTTTAATATTTGATAACTTTATCATTTCAAAGTGAAAAATGACCTTTGATGGGAGAGATGGCAAGCATTTTTCTAGTTTGTGGTCAAGGGTGATAACTGAAAACGTTTGGGCTGCTGATGTTTTCTTTGACATATACAAAACAGTAGTATTGTAAGTTCAAGGGAGGCAAAAAGATCTTGGATATTACTAACACCTAGTTCTGTATGAAACACCCTTTGCTCCATCTCTGATGCTGTAGAGGCCTTCAATTATCAGTTGCAATGTGGATGAGCAACAGACTGAGATGTTTCTAAATATTCAGAAAGACAACTTTCTCTTCTGAAATGTAAAGAATAGTAGAAGTTGTGAATAAGGTTGTTGCTTATGGAGTTATGAAATTAATTCCTAAAATAGGTGTCTATGGTAGACATCATCATTGTAACACTCTTTCAGCTAAAACAATCAAAGGCTGTTTTAGACAAATCAAAAATCAGTAGTCAGGAAAGCTAGTTTTCAATGAGAACCGACTACAGGTACTTTATCTTATTTTGTGATAGCCCTAAGTTTCAACCCCAAATTCCATTCTTTTGCTAAAACTATCAACAAGCTGACAAATGAATTAAAAATAAAACACCAGAAGAGTCTAAACTATCTATGTTGAGAAATTACACAATGTCCAGCTTCTGCTATATTCTGAACTATATTCTGTAGACTTCTTTTAAGTAGATGTTTGGCTGAGTTTCTTGGAAGGATTTAGTTGAGAGGTGTGCATGGAAACTTTCATACTTCTCTGGCTAATTGGCTTATTTGATATTTAAATTTTTCCCTAGTAAATAAACTGTTGGACTGTTATTGGTTGATGGACTAAAGAGACTTGACAGTGTTGCTTTCTTTGCTCTTACTGTCGGAGTTTATTTTGATGACCTATATTTTCTATTGGAAGAAAGAGTAAGTCAGGAAATTCTTATCAGCCTGACAACATTTTTAGACTATGCAGTGCGTGGGTGAAGTGGGACTAATATTGACTTGGCCCTAATACAGTCATCTGAGAATACATATTTTGGTTGTTTTTGCATTCCATAAGGTTTTATCATTATTGTCCACGAAGGTTGTTTTCTCAGTACATGGGATTTGACCCCTAATAACATCTTGCTTGGAAAGCAAAAATGAGGACTTCAACTCTTGCTGCATTAAAACACAAACAAAACAAAACAAACACTTGATTTGTTGATGAGGGGAAAAGAAAAGAAAAGGAACATAAAAAATGACAGTGTAATCAAAAAACGTAGTGGTCATTTATGAAGTAAGTGCCGGATGTGAGATTTTGACATTTAGTAACTACTTCTGCATTCAGTTGTCGTAATGTGTCCTTAGTTGTTCTCTCTCTTCAAAACTGGCTGTCTAGAGTTCTTGTACATTTGTTTTTATTTTTTTATTTTTCTGGAAGGAAAAGGAATCAAATGCAGAGTCTCACACGTGCTAGACAAGCAGTTTATCACTGAACTACACACACCCCTACCTCTGAAGTTCTTGCAAATTAGTATATCAAAATAGTTCATTATGATTGATCTTAAGCATGGGTGCACTTTCATTGTCTGAAAATTCTTTTTAGAAATGAAAGACCCTCATTTTCCATCCATATATACTACTACCAGCTTTCCCTCTAAATCTGAAAGTTTTAAGCTTAAGTTTTTCATTGAGCATATTGTAGGTGTAGGTAGGTAGTAGATGAGTGTTTAAAAAACCCAGTAATCTGCCTGCATACAATTGCCGCACTACAGGGTCTTATTCCAGTTAAACCAATCAAACTAATCTGCACGTGTCTGATGAGTAAATTCACGATCCATGGAGTTAATTCCTTGACACTGTGTGCTGGGCTCGAATCTTCCAGTGAACTTTACAGAGGCAGAACTTTGTGAGAGATTCTGAGCACCTAGTCCCCAGCCTCACCAGCTCTCCATAGCCTCCAGACAGCCCTCCTCCCTATCTCCCTGGGAGAAGCCTTGACTCAGTCTCAGCACATGCTCTAAGGCTGATGACACTGCAGAACGTGAACAGAAAGGAATGCGCTTGTAGTTGACCAGTGACAGTAGGAAACAGCACAAGGTTTCGAAATACGTGTCAGGAAAAATTGAGGGCAACGATATGAACTCACAGATTCCCTTCATACCCAGTGGACTTCTCATCTTAAAGGCAGACAGTCTGTTGTCTAAATCCTCTCCCATATTAAGAATGTTAAATTAGAAGTACACTTAAAGTCAGGCTTCTGGATGAAAGGACAAACAGACAGCAGTAGCTGAAACTTCCACACCTATATAGATTTTTTTATGGTCATTTTCGGCTTCTGGTAAGTTAGAACCAGTTTACTCTCTCTTCTTCAAGGATAGCAGCTGGGTGAAAATGCCCACAGGCCATCTCTAAAAAAAAAAAAAAAAGTTTCTTTGGGAGGGGAAACTTCTTCAGTAATGTTTATAAGGAGTTTTTGAAACTCATTGTTTGCCTGCTGCTACCTTGGTTCAGTTACAAAACGACCCTGAGATTCTGTTTCTCATATGGGAAAATCCTAGAGGGTGGGGAACATACTATAAATGGGAAAATTCAGGCCCGTGGGGTTGGAATTCCTGGCTAAAATTTCCATGCTCATTGGTAACAGAATCAGGACCAGCAGATCTCTTTTCCTGGAAGAGCTTCCTTCTGCCTTGTCATGCAGTTTCCCGTGCATTTCCCCCTCCTTATTACACAACAGGTTAATTTTTGTCTTTAGTACCCCAATCAAATTTTTTGATAAAGAAGATTAATATGCAGTAGATTCTTTGGCCTTGGAGCTTGATATTCTTTCCAAGTCCTTGGTAGTGTACTTTTTAAAGTTTAAAAATGTCAAAGCCTTTGTGCAAACTGTTGTAGTGTGCTAATGACTTTTGCTCTCCATGTTACATACTTTTTGAAAAAAATTGTGTACCTACTTAGCAATTGAACATTTGCTTATTTAAAATAAAATGCAAGCCATGGCATTAACTATCACATTTAGGTGCCTCAGTTTTATTGGTACTCAAACATAATATTAGATTCATTCAGAGGAAAGAACTCAATTTTAACCTAAATAGTTTCATTTACACAGTCAAATTATTTAAGGCTGGGGATTTAATTTTCTTGTAACTGTAAGCAAGGACTTAAGTATATTTGCAAGGATTTCTACCGGACTTCTTTGAAAAAGAGCAGCCTCTATAATCCCATGATACACAAATTAACTTGACAGCAAAGCTTTAAAAGCTTAAGTTGTCCAGAGTTTCATGTTCCTAGTAACTTCCCAGCAGAAGGAAGTCAGACACAGAAACAGTTAAGCTTTAAAGTAACCAAAGTATCCACAGGGCAGTGATTCAGAACGGAGATTACAATGATACCAGAGAGGGTGGGATTAAAAGCCACAAAAGTTTTACAGAACGAGGATGTATTCACCTAGCAATCAACCACTAGGAGATGGTAGGGTTAGAAATTTCATAAAAAAAAGTATTGGCCCAATAGGCAAAGAGCACCACTTCACCCAGCATTTGGTAGACACCCCACAAAGCTTGAAGTGGTGCAGGGGACTCCCATTCAAGGGAAATCAGAGAAAAAGCCCTGCTCCTTTGCTTGACATCTCTTCCAGTACTGCAGGTGAGACACTGAACTAACCCTGTTGGACCATCTGTGCAAAGAGAATTTTCCAAGAGATAAAAAGCAATTATGCACGTGATGCCTGGGGCAGG